GGAGAGTGAGTGGGGGGTGGGGGAGAGTGAGATGCATTTGATACAGAGCATATGATGTCAAAACATCTCAAAGCACTTCACAGGGAATTGCTGTCAAGTGCAGTGACTGTGTAGTGATAGCCAAACACAGGAACTCATTTAAGAAACTGTCTGATGCTGTTATGGGAGGATGGTCAGGTGGGTGTTCTGGCAAGATCAGATCAAATAGACATAGATCAGGAATCAAAGAATATCTTTTTACAATAAATCATATTTTAAATGAAATGTACATTTTAAATATATTTTTAACAAAATGGCAATCTTTTGGTTACAAAACAGTTGATACGTTAACTTCGATTTTCTCCACAGGATAGTTAGTCATTGTTATTGCCACATAGCTCTTGCATTTACTGTAATATGTTATGCCAATTTGATTTCCTGCAATAAGCAAACCCTATTTCTATTAGAAGCACCTCCCCAGAGACTGGTCTGTACAGATGGCTGTCCACCAACAACAAGAGATAACTATTAGCACAGATGAAGTATTTTTTCTCTGTATTGTAGTCAAGATCATTAAGACATCATTAAAGTCCAATTCTGCAGTGACAAGCACAAGTAAGAGCCTGTGCAACAGAAACACCATTCACACAGTCAACATCTCCATTACCCACACTAATGAGGAAGACAGCTGACAGAAACCCGCTCTCATTCTCCAGGGGCTTTTGCACTAAATGCAGACAACACAGAGGATGGTATTAGAGCTATCTTTTTTTAAGAATGTGGAACATAATCCAAGCCCCCTGTGTTTTCACAGGCTTCACTGTTATTGATCAAAATGCTCTTCTGTTTGCCTTTTGCTGTGTGCTCCAGTGAGTACTGTAGTTGCTATGTGCTGTGAATTTACAGTAGCTCAGTGTCTGGAACAGGAATACTTTTATGAAAGACGTAACAAATGATGGTGTTCCTAATTGTTTAATTGGTTTTAGTGTCATTACACATCTGGATGGCACAACATATTCAGAATTATAATGTGTGAATATTAAAGTAAAAGATGGGCTGAGCACTGACAAATCAAGCTCAATACAGATGAATATAGATTAATGCAAGTTATTGCAAAAACAAAGTAAAAATATGAGGCAGATAAACTCCATGAATGGATAGAACCAGTTTGCGCACAGCAATGTCCCAGAGGCAGCCATAGAGTAAGTGACCATTTTTATTTCGGGGATTGGTTAGCCAGGACACTGGGAGAAATTCCCTTCCCTTTTAGAACAGGGATCTTTAACGTCCACTGAACAGGCAGATGGTCATTGGTTTAACATCTCACTCGAAAGACAATACCTGCGACAATGCAACACCACCCCCACCCCGCAGCATTGCATTGGAGTGTCAGCTTAGACTATGTGATCTTAAGTTCCAATGTGGGACTCGAACCCATAGCCTTCTGATTCAGAGGCAAAAGTGCTACTACTGTACTAGGCTGACTGCCCAGATCACAGAGTCAGCTCAGAGGAGAGCAACAAGACTGATCACCACTTAGAGGAATGAGTTATGAGGAATCAATATAAATAGTAGAATAATAAAATAATGGAAAAGACGCATCAACGGGAATCTTTTGCTGCTATATGGATACTAAATAGGGATACTAAATGAGACACTAAATAGAAAGAGAATCCAGAACAAAAATAAGCCAATACAGCAGGTTAAGAGGTAACATATACAGGGTTGTGAAGGGAAATTTTAAGACAGAGACCAGGAATGATTGCCTTACACAAAGGGTAATCAATAGCAAGAATAGGTGGTTGAAGAAATAGCTTTAAAATGTAATGGCAGGATTATAGAGTTCTGGAAGGATTAGATCAAATGTGAAAAGTTTTAAACTCTTAATTTATTCTGGCCACAAAATTTTCTGTTACGCACCATAAATTGTTCCTCCACAAACTGGCAGAAATGCTGTCACAATTGTTCATCCATCAGAAGAACTTCATCATGTATCAAAGTCATGGTGTGTGCTGGAAAATAGCATTCACACTGCACCAATTTTGGTATAAAAATGATTGCAGGATTGAATAAAACTATCCCATAAAATTAATGGCGTATATTATAAAAACAGGCGACTGAAATGATTTTTTTAAGATGGCAATTTAATATGGGGTTCAGATGATCATTATAAACCACTCATGATTCAGTGTTTATGTTAACAGTACCAGCACGATCATTAACACCCAGCACAGTTGCCAGCAGTCTTTTGTTCGCTATACAAGTGAGGCAGACTAGAAGCTGAGGTGGGAAATAGCAGACACGGGGCATGTATTTGAATGATGCGTGGAATTGGAGGGAAAAGAGCAGAGAAGATTGACAGCGTCAGCTAGAGCAGTAGAGAATAAGTGGTGATTAGCTGGGCCAATAGAAAAGTTCGGAAATATTTGCCACAAATTGTGGGGAGATTTGGGCAAATTGCGGGGGCATTTTTTACATATTTTGCAGAAAATGGCAGGGTGTTGATTGGTCCTATTGAGGTACAGTTTACTTCCAACCTACATTTTTTCACTTTATTGATAAAAACTAAACATGAGGCACTTTTCTATTGGACCAGGTGATTAGTTACTTACCCTCCCTGACCCCCTAAAGATTGGGGGATTCTCCCGGTGTCCTCGCTAACAGTTTATTAAATAATATTAGGCAAAGTATTGCAGATGGTGAAAATCTGGTAAGTTATCATTTCAGGTCTATGACCTTTAGTCAGAACTGACCAAAGATCATTCACCTGAAACTTTAACTCATTTTTCTCTCTCCATGAATGCTACCTGACCTGCTGCGTGTTCCCAGTGACTTCTGTGTTTATATCTTGAATAACATTGGTCATTCATTTCATGGCTGTTTGTGAGATATTACTGAGTGCAAACTGGCAAAATACACATTCACTATACTTTACAATCAATCCTGTGATTCGCTTTCAGAGCTCAAATGTAAGGATTATTCTTAATTTGCAGAAACAGGAACATTCTACTTAGCCTATCAAGCCCGCGCCAATTGATGTTTTGTCTCTATAACCTGCTTTATTGCAAAACCTGCCCCATGAGAAAACTGTTTGTTTAACTGCTCTGAGATGCCACCTGGCAGGAAGGGCGCTATGTAAATACAAGTTGTTGTTGTAAATAAAAAGGTGGGGTATTTTGGCTCCAGGTCCTGTTCAGATTCAGATTTCTGTTGTGAAGTAAATATGAGAGAAGAAATTGGTCAAGGGGAGTGAGATTGGGGGTGGGGGGGGGGGGGGTGGAGTGGGTGGGAGGGAGTTGGGAGGGGGACATAAGTGAGCAGAAATTAATAGCATGATCTGTTGATCTGTTGGCATCTGTTCAGTTACAAATCATTCAGGCTCTTGTCAGGGCTACAAGAGTACCAATGTGAATCTGGAAGTAAAGACTTGTTAACTTACACTGTTCAGAATCAGGATATTTCTGGAGAGGAACATAAATTTTGTTCCGGCTTTTTATTGCCATGTTTGGCTGCATCTCAAAGTTAAGGGCAAACAGCTGCTTCCATAAGCTGCAGAATTGTTTTAATTTGCCTGCATAATCTGTGTCAGTAAATTATTCCTAAATACACGATCACAATACCAATAGTTAAAACAATAAAAGGGCACTGGGAAAGAGCTAGAAAGTGGGACTAATAAAAAAAGTACTTAAAAAGCAGAGGTAGCAATGACACAGAGACAATAGACCAAATATCCTTCTTCCTTGCTTAATGTTTCTCTGCTGCTAATACTGCCAAAGGAGCAATTGGCAGATTTAATTAAATTTAAATGGCAGGTTGATGGTTCACTATCCTGTGTTAGAACTGGAATGCTCCACAGATATGAAACGTTGATTTTGAAACCTTATCCGTTTTAGTGTGTCAATGGTAAAATTGTGAAGATGGGGTTTTAAATGTTAAAGACTTTGAAGTACAGCCTGTAGACAACTGATGTGGACAGCTGCCTATTACTGCATATCATGCATACCAATTTTCCTCACGTTAAAACAAAATCTGAATGGTTTTAACAGGCATTTAAAAGGACAATTCATCCTTCCAATCCTTAATAGAGAAAAATACTACATAACACTAGTGGACCAAACACACAACTGAACTTAAGTAAACATAGTACATCAAAGCTAGTACATATCAGCAGAAAAAAGCAGGATGGTTATTAATAACTGGTTATTGAAAAAAAACCCTGCACTTTGCAGAGAAGGTTCTGCCCAGTTAGGCTGAAAACTTAATACAGTTATTACCTTACCTGCTGGCTTCCTTAGACATTATACATTCGCCGACAAAATACAATCAATCCACTTCACAATATATTCTATGAAGCTTTTTAAGATGTCTCAATGACATGATAGGGTGCTATATCAAATGCAAGGATTATTATTTTTATTATTAAAAAGGAGAACATGATACAGTGAAATTTTGTTAACTGAATACTCAATTTGACAGTGCAAATTATTCGATAAACCAAACTATTCATATAACCGGGCTAAACATAATAGGAGACTCATCTTCCGGAGCTCTAAATTCTATTCAGGTAACCGAACTATTCAATTATCTGATATTGAATTAACCAAATTTCACTGTGTAACTATGTCTAAGGAAAGTTCTTGCATTTAAATCCTTTTAGAAAGACCATGTCCCGCTCCAAGATGCTCCCAGGTCTCTGAAATGCAACCCTGCGTGAAGGGTGCTACATAAATGCAAGTTGTTCCTGTCCCAGGAATTAGAAGGATCCAAAAAATTAAGTCCCCCATATCTTAAATCTAGATCCTACCTAATATTTAATATTTAAACTTGGGGGAAGTGGAAAGAGACTGACATAGGTGGTTGGATCCACTGATATTGGAGTAACACTGCTAAGTGGTGGATAATTGCATGGCTCAGACCATCCTGCTCTCCTGATTAGAGAAGGCTGCAGCATGGGAACGAGGCTCCTGGAGGAAAGGAAAAAGTAATTCCCCCAGAAAAGTAACTTCATTCTTAATACTCACCAAAATCACTTGGAAAAGAGTGGTCACAAGTTGGCTTTCTTCTATCAATCTGAAAAGCAAGATGTACCATCATGTTAATTAAAACACAGGCAATGAATGTGTCCCCATTAATGGAGACATATTATTTATGCTACTGAATGCATAACTTTAAGACTCAATGTGAATGACAACACTGCTAAAATCTATAGGTCAGTGATCTGGAACACTGACCTCCGACTAATGCAGTTTGTAATTGAGCTCCACATACACCTAATAAACAGGAATAATGTCAAAGTTTATTGGAAATGACTGGCTCCCTGCCTTATTGATCAAAGCTAGTGACTGAAAAAGCAATACTGTACTGTACTTGAACGCTTTATAAGGAGCTGTTAAGGTAAAGCAAAATTTTTCCGCACTTTGTATTAACTATGCACGTGACAAACAACAAAAGAGATGCGTTTGGTCAAGCGAAGATAAATTGAATTTGCAATAGATTTTATTTACTGTGGAGAATTAGAGGCCCGATCTTTCAGACACACTTTGTAGCCTAGTGCCATTTCCACAGAGAGTCGGAAAAATACATTTAAAAGAGCTGTATGGCATAATTTAAATGAGAAAAATGCCAGTGTTCTGACACTCAAACAATCTGATTCCAACAAATGGGATGTTTCATTCTGTGTTTAGTAAGCCTGCTGCTTAGTTTTAAGGATAGCTTAAAAACTTGTAGACCTTCTATGGGAGGTTCTGTTGCAAATGGAAAATATAAAAGCCACTTGGTACATAAACTTACATGCATCATCTGTGAATTCAGAGTTTAATAACAATGCATTTTCCCTCACAGAAAGCTTCAATACATGAAATAATTAATGAATATTTTAAAAAAGACAATGGTTTCGAATTACAATTGTGACTTAATCTTTTTTGTAGATTTACAATAGTTGTCCATCACACCAGCACAAATTGCTGGTTTTTACTGGAAAAAAGAGACTTCAGGTAGTTGATTTTTATTCATGGCACACTCCTTACACAATATTTTCAGTTATGCTTATTTTGAGGAATTTAAGATCAAAATGTTTCTGGAACTCATCTTTCTTTTTGGAGTCATCACTTTGTCCCTTGAAAAATATCCAAGCTCTTATTTTCCACCAATGCTATGAAGCCATATAAGTAAAGAAATCAAATGTTCTTTTACGTGGCCCAGTAAAAAAATAGTTGGCTCCTAACCAGTATTATTGCCTTTGTTTTCTAATTTTCATTTTTGAAGGAACTGACTCATGCTGGTGTACAGTTCCACAGGCACCAGACATCCTCCAATTCTCAGTCAAGCTGCTATTCCTCGTGTGAGAGTCTAGACAGTGAATGTCAGCAGCTTATTCAACAACATGTCAGCAGCCTATGTTTTCTTCATCTCGCTTTCCGACAGAGATTATTGGACTGTATTGGGAACCCAATTGCCACCTCTTTTTCTACCTCAAGGATTCTCAGGCCAACGATAACACCCCCATCACTGCCAGAACTGAGATCAGGAATCAAACCTGGGACAGGCTTGGTGTGTAGGTCACACATACACTTTAGGCCATCGTTTTAGCAACAGAGCCATGAGGAAAGTGTAACTGTCTAAATTTATGTGCAATCATTCAAACATAAATAGCATCAAAGTCAAAAAGGCAAAGAAAGTGTTAAATACAGTTAATTTATCTTAATACAGTAGTCAGAGTGATCATATTATACATGTAGTGATATGTATACAAAATATATATTTTGTTTCTAGGATAGGACATTGTCAACAATGCTTCAATGTCCTGTATTTAGCAACTGCAGCAAAACTGATGAAACTAATTGGATTGGGTAGCCTGCCAAGATTTCTAACTGGGTTTGAAAACTTATTAGGAAGGTCACCAGTCTTTACAAGATCATACAGACATGGCTGAATCATTAAATTTTAAAGCTGCAATATCCTGCTGCATCTACTCGAAAGCTTCCAATTTCTCTAAAATAGAAGGCACCTCTTAGCTCTCACGTACAGAACGGTTTTAATATTTCACACCCTAAAGTTACCAGTGCAGCAGTCTACAATTAGCAGCAATCCCAGGACAATTGAGAACAAACAATTGATCTCAATGTAATCATTCATTCTGCTGACATACATTGATTGGATTTAACACTTTGCTGCTGAAAACTCCACACCAAGATAATCTTTACAAATGATATGGACAGCCATTTTATTGCTTCCCAAAGTAAGCATACCTACATGCCCCATCAACTGTTGACCCAGCGCCTTAGGATGTCCTCCCATCATGAAAGGCGCTGTATAAATGTAATTTGTTGTTGTTAATGATGACAACTAGATTTGAACAACAATCAAAATAAGGAAATCAAAATGCTAAAGTGATATCCAAGTGGGGTAGAGCTTCAAGCCTCAGCCAAATTAATAATGAGAATGACAATCTTTGTATTTGATATAGCTCTTTTCATGTCGGAGCACGTCTCAAAGCGTTTCACAGGATTTACTGTAAAGTGAATGTTCATTTTGCAAATGGCAGCCAATTAGGACACAGCAGTGTTACACAGAGAGCCATGAATTAACTAATTTTATCTGGGGAATGTTGGCTAGACCACCAGGAGAAACTCCTTTCACTTTTTGAATAATACATTGGGATCTTTGATGTCCACCTGAATGGGCAGACAGGACCTCAGTTTAATATTTTATCCAGAGAAGATATTCCATTAACATCAATGTAGTATTGTAAAGGAGCATCACATTTTAATTTTGATTCGGTTAAATGCATTGCATTTAGCCTCATTAAAGAACTCAAATTCTATCTGCCCTTTGATTTAGTTAAGAGCACCTTTATACCCTGTTGAGGCCTCAAAATTATATATTCATGAGTCTAATGTGCGCAGATATCCACAGGTACCACCAAATTGACCACCAAATAAAGTCGCTATTTTTTATAAACATTTTTAACCAGACTGAATGCAAAGAGAGCAAGTGGGGGTTTGGAGTGTGTGTAGGAGGGGAGTATGCTTTATTGGTTGGGGTTCAAACTATACAAAAATGGTGTTCCGTTGTCAATGTTGTGTCAACTGTGGATTCCTGTAGCTTAATGGTTAGCACGCTCACCTAGCAAGCAAGAGGACACGGGTTTGATTCCCAGGCTCGGTGAAAGGCAAAACGTTAGACAAATTTCCTTACTCTACACACCTCTGTTTCCCTAGCAGTAAATAGAAACCCATTTTTTAGTTCACAAACAAAAACAGAAGTCGCTGGGATCACTCAGCAGGTCAGGCAGCATTTATGGAGAAAGGAAAGTGAGTCAATGTTTCGGATCCATGGCCCTTTGTTTTAGTTAATTGGCAGATCGTTTTCCAGGGGTAATAAATCCTGAAAAATAAATTTGGTCATTTGATCCATGACTGTTTGTAGGACACTGCTGTGTTTCACCCACAAAATACAGTCAATCTATTTTACAATATGTTCTGTGAAGTGCTTTGAGAAGTCTCAACTACGTGATAAGGAACTATATCAAATGCAAGGATTATTTATTATATATATATTTCCCCTTTCCCCACTTGTCAGCTCTGAAAATTAATATGTAATATCATTGCCCTTGATTATATGCCCAAATAATGTCTAAACATTTCAAATCACTTCACTTGCAATCTCTGTTAAGTGATGTTTTTATAGGCAAATGCAGCAATCATTTTGCACGCAACAAAGTTCCATAAACAACTGTGAAATGAAACTTTAATTTATTTGGAATTTGCTGGTTAGAACACTTCTCTTTTCAAATACGATGTGATAAGCTTCTATACCAAATACAGGACTATTATTATTATTATCATTATTATTATTATTATAATAAATACAGTGGAATCCTGTTAGAAAGTGCTTTGTTATAACAGATTGGTTATACAATACAAATTTAGATTTATATAGTGCTTTTCATGTCAGTAGGAAGTTCTAAGTATAGGAGAAGGAAGGAACTATATTCAGAGGCTTTCTAATTGATAGCTTGGGAAGCTAATGCTCTGACCAGCAACATGCCTTTAGTATTGCAGCACAGGATTTGGTTGTTGTATGGCACAGTGAAGTGCCTGATCTGTGTCTGAATCGGAGGGATTGCAGAATACAAAATCCTGGTTAACCTCAATTTATACAAGGTATATCTGGAGGCAAAACAGAGACCTGCAACAACTAAAAGAAAGTCTTACATCAGGTTAATTATGTGCCCTTTTTTGGTCACCCACAAATCAAATCTAGTTGATAAGCAATGAACAGTACATGTAAACGGGCGTAGGAGAGTTCATAGAATAGCACTTAGCTTAATAGAAGATACAATGTACAAACAAGGCAGCTCAGAGCAAAGAACACCAACAATCTACCTTCACTATCCTTATCTGACTTTAAAACCTGGCAATAGTCCAACTTGTCTTCTTCATGAAATGCAATGAGATACCACAATTTTTGGAATACCAAGACTGGTATGTGCAGCAGACATTATGAATGACTCACTCTCTCATTCCAAACATAGCACAAGGCATTTCAGTCATCTGCTGGATATATCTCACTCGCTGTGGCGCTGGATGACCAGCTGAAAGAAACAGCTGTAAGTGCATTCTTTCAAATGGTTTCAAATGCCAGGCAGGAAAAAAGAAAAGTTTCAAATGGGTTTGGTTGATTTTGTCAATAAGAATCTTGCTGTGGCGAGCCAACCAGCAGAGCAGGGAGTATGTGATCTGGCACATGTTTATGTGGAGCTGAGTGCACACTGGAGGGTAATATCATAAGGGTTTAAAGGGCATCTCCCTGGAAACAGCATCCCTTGATGGCTGCAAACTGAAGCTGATGCATTGTTAGAGGAATGAGTGCTATCTGTGTTCCACGAAAACTCTGCAGTGCCTTAGCTCATACATGGTGTTACATTTATGGTCACTGAATTTGCTTTTCTCCTACATTTCATACTTTAATCTCACAGTATTTCTTCAAAGCATAGCATGCCTTAATAATTACAAGACTGTGTGCATTATTCTACTTGGTAACAATAAAACTCTTTCCATGTTGGATGA